TCGATGATTTTGTTGTGACCTATGTACCGGCCGGTCAGAACTGAATTGATGTGTTCGATTAAGTTCTTTGTCAAACAAATCGAAAATCGGGAAACAAACTGCTGGACAATAAGTACGACGTTGTTCCATGTATTTGTCCGGCTGATATCATGAGAACAGAGGATTATGTGATCACTTATCTAAAATGGCGCTTCATAGTTCGACAAAGTCTTCATTGTTCGAGGGAGTTTTCGAGAGCTACGATTGTTGGTTGGTTCCTGAAGTTATAGGCAAATATAGTTATTAGACTTATCCAAGTGGGAGTCTGTTGGATAAGGTGTCTAAGTCCATAACTTATTTGGTATATACTTGACCCGACCGGCATGGTCCATTTGGGTTGCATCTCATCCAAACTATTATGGATAATTTTATGAGAGTTATACACATATGTTTATTAATATATTATGAGTTATAATATATTAATATGAAGTTACGTTATTTAATTAGTTTTAGTCTTAAATTAATCATGGATTAATTTAGATATTAAAAGGAATACTAATTAAATTATGGGCTATTTGTTTTATATAGTGTGGGCTAATACTCATTTGTTAATGGGCTAGGCTTATGTGGAAGTCCATGGATGATCCATGGAGCTTTTAACCCATGGATCCTTGGAAAAGGAAAAGACATGGGTTATTAGGGTTTCACCCTTACCATGTATACTATATAAGCATGCTTATGGAGCATGAAATGAGGCCAAAGAGAAAGCTAGTGATCTAGTGTGTGTGTGCATGTGTGTGGCCGATTTATACAAGGTGTATATACTCTCTCAAAGTTTTCCAAGAGTTTGTGGTGTTTGTGATTCCATTTGAGGCATTCACACTATTGGTGCTTGGCCCTCAAACTCCTAAGAACCCAACACACCAAAAGGTATGTAATCTCTTCTAACTCTTTTATGTTGAAATGTTCCCCATGCCATGTTAGATAGGTTATAAACCTTGGAAAATTATTATTTTGCATGTATTTAGACAAACATAGATCCAAGGTTTATTAGGGTTGCATGCACACTTAGGAAGTGTTAGATTGCTCAAAACCCAACAAAATAATGATGTGTTTATCCATTAAACTTTAAGAGAAATTAAATATTCTCCTACTTCTTGTTCCTAAAAATCCTCATATCCAATTAAATAGTGATATCATACATACTTATAAAGCTAGCATTTTTTCTTAAATCCCATGCATTTGAAACCCCCATTTTTTTCCTTTCACCACATTCATTTGAAACCCCCATGACTTTTCAATTTCTTTATAATAATAATTATCATTTGGTAATTAGGTTAAATAAATATCAAATCTAAAGTATATTCATATATAAACTAAATTTTAATATTAAAATAATATCTTTAATTCTACTTATAAAACTATGTTTTTTAACTTTTAACATATTATACTGAATTTATTAGTTTTAATATATTATTGGATGTATATCATTATCATTTTAAAGGTATAATTTTTGAACAATTTGTATAAAATACTTAAAATATTAATTAAAATATAACATTATAGGCTCAACTTAAAAATAAATTTTATTTAACTTAAACAACCCAAAGATTATTTATAAATAGTTAAAAGTGATAAATTGTAGTGTCTTTCTAATAATGATTGTGAGTTGGTTAATAAGGTTAAATAAATATCAAACCTAAAGTGTAATCATAAATAGACTAAATTTCAATTTTAAAATAGTATCTTTACTTCTATTTATAAAACTATGTTTTTTAACTTTTAACATATTATACTGAATTTATTAGTTTTAATATATTATTGGATGTATATCATTATCATTTTAAAGGTATAATTTTTGAACAATTTGTATAAAATACTTAAAATATTAATTAAAATATAACATTATAGGCTCAACTTAAAAATAAATTTTATTTAACTTAAACAACCCAAAGATTATTTATAAATAGTTAAAAGTGATAAATTGTAGTGTCTTTCTAATAATGATTGTGAGTTGGTTAATAAGGTTAAATAAATATCAAACCTAAAGTGTAATCATAAATAGACTAAATTTCAATTTTAAAATAATATCTTTACTTCTATTTATAAAGTTATGTCTTTACATTTTAAAATATTATACTTAATTTATTAGATTTAAAATGTTGTTGCATGTAAACTATTATCAGTTTAAAGCTACAATTTTTGAACAGTTTGGACAAAATACTTAAATTATCAATTTAAATATAACATTACAGTGTCAACTTAAATATAAATTTCAGTTCCACTAAAAAAACCAATTAATATTTTGTAAATAGTTAAAAGTGATAAATTATGGTGATAAATGAAAAAACTAAATTGTAATATCAGTTGAACTAAAATATTTCCTAAATATATTTATATAATCGTTAAAAATTATCAAATAAGTAGCTTAAAATAATTTTATATAAATGATTATATTGTTACCTTTAAAATTAAAAAATAATGTTTGATGTTTTAAATAATTATAATGATAGAAATTAAAACATTAAGCAAATAAATTTTAAAAAATTAGTTAAAAATAATAACTATAAATAATATTAAACCACATATAATATTTAATTTTATTGATGTGTAACTCGCGAGTAGAAGTTATTCAAACGATTGAGATTATGACGTCATAATAGATTTATATATTATCATATAATTCAAAATAATCAATATATTATATCAAATTAATATACAAATTATTATATTAAATTTAACAACAACGTTAATGTTATATTTTAAATATATATATATATATTTGTAAAAACTTCAACTATATAGATGTTTCTGTGCATTACAATGTCAACTCAAATATAAATTTCAATTTCATTTAAAAAAACTAAATAATATTTTGTAAATAATTAAAAGTGATAAATTCTAGTGATAAAAGCAAAAACTAAATTGTAATCTCAATTTAACTAAAATATTTCTTAAATATATTTTTATAATCGTTAAAAGTTTCCAACCAAGTAGTTTAAAATAACTTACAATAGCAATAGTTAAAAACAACTCTATATAAATGATTATATTGTTAGATTTAAAATAAAAAAAACAACGTTGGGTGTTTTAAATAATTATAATGATAGAAATTAAAAAATTAAGCAAATAAATTTAAAAAAAATAATTAACAATAAAAACAACTATAAATAACATCAAATCATATATTATATTTAATTTTATTCATGTATAACTCGTGGATAGAAGTCATTCAAGACATTAAGATTATGAAGTTATAATAAATGTATATATTATCATATGATTTAAAATAATCAATATACTATATCAATTTAGTATATATAAATTATTATATCAAATTTAACAACAACGTTATTGTTATATTTAAAAATTCATATATTTGTAAAGATTTCAACTATATAGGTGTTTCTGCGCAACGCACTCGCATTTGTCTAGTATGTAATATTTAATGTTTATTTAATGATATTTTAGTATACTAATATGGCATATGTTATTATTTAATTTGGTGGGAAGATTTATAAGGAAAAAAATAGGAATATATTTAATCTCTAAACTATAATAAGTTTAATACATTGTACAGTTAATTTCTCAATAAAAATGTCTCATGATTTTGACATTTTTAATAGGGAAGTGATTCGTACACAATAATTTTTTACCATACATAACAATTTATGCATTATAGAGTTGTACAATACAACACTTTAATGCACAAATTGTTGTGTATGAAAAAAAAAAAATATTATGTACGAATCACTTCCCTTTTTAATTGATTATCAACTAAAATCGTTACAAAATCAAATATAAAACGGCCTGAGTTATAAATAAATAAATAAATGCATCAACCACATTAATACATTATCATTCGTGTAAATGTTTTGCAAATGTTGCAGGATTAGGAAGGCCAGAATCTGATTTAGAAGTAGGTGGGAAATTATTTCATCTCATAATTCGTGAATTCTCTGCCATCGATCATCTCCAACCCAACCCAGCCAAACCATGCCTGTAAGTCATCTCTCCCAATTCACCTGTAAGTAGATCTAGGGTTACACTCCAGTCTCTACACACAAACTAAAAAAATTTCTACTGAACTAGTGTTATCTGATCTTACTGTTGAATCCAATTTGTTAGGTCTGGATTTAAATATAATTCTCGATTTTGTTACAGATTAAGAGGTTCCTGTTGGAGGTGGAACCACCAAGTCCAGTGAGATACTTGATCGGATCTGCAATCATGATGATCGGCGTCGTTTTGCCTCTTGGTTATATGATGTTTCGCAACAAACGTGTCCCGTCTTCTTCGTCTTTTGCTAAACAGACGTAGGTGTGCTTCCCTTTTTTACTTCTCATTTTTAGTTTATAGATCAATATGTGTTATTAGTTAATAAATAAATTCCTGGCATTATTGTAATCATCAACCTCTTAGTTTTACATTTCGCAATTCCAGTTTTTAGATTTAAGCAGATTTTGCCCTATTTTAGATGGAAGTGCTTAGGGTATAGCATTCTGTTCCAGTTATAATTTGATGGTTGAAATTGAACGTAAAGTCAGTGTGTGAAATGAGGGACCATACTAAAATGAGAATGTGGTTATTGTTTCAGGAACAAAGTTTTGATATAGAGAAAGAGATGGAGTTGAATTTGGTTTGTAGTTTGACTGAAAGAGGAGAGATATTCATATACTGTGACCTCATATGAAGGAATGTAAATGCTTTAAGCTCAAAACTCTGATTTAGAAATTACATACTTGTGTTGTGGGTGTGGTGTGGTGTTGTGTGGTGTTATTGGAATTATTTACCCATGTGACTAGTATTCTAATTGAGATATCCATAGGCACTTTAACTCTCCTCCATGACAACATGAAAAATCCAGTTTATTATTTGATTGAATTACAAGTTACGGTTGTATGACTTGGTGTATTTTGGTATCAGGACTTGCATTTGTTAGTTTGATTCACATTTTCCTATTCCATTTCTCCACCTATCAAACAAATATGACTCATGATACACAATTACACACACTGAAATGTCATCTTTTTTGCCATAACGATACAGTTAGGATTTGATGTTATATCATATGATCATTGAATCCTTAAGAAAGACATGTCTACACGTGTGTGAAAAGATGAAATGTCAACACCCCAACAAAAAAATTCACTACAAAGAGAGTTTGTAGTTCTATCATTCCTATTGTTTGACCAGGACCTAATTATGGGTTCAGTAAAACAAAAAGGAAAAAAAAAATTAAAGACTTGATAAGTAGCAAGGGTCAAAGGGCATCTGGTTAGCTTTTTCAGTCCTCATCTCTTCAAAAATAGTCGTTTCCCAGCCATCAATAATAATAATAATAAGAATAGCAATGAAATCCATATAAACACCAGCATCAATAATTACAGCTGTTGATGCCAACGTCCTAGAGCTTCTCCCATTTGTATCTTATCGCCTTTTTCAACACAGAAACTGAATTCTGATGATGGTGAAGTTGTGGGTGCTTGGAAAACTAGCACCACTGTTGATCCCATGTTAAACGCACCTACCTGCAAACACAAGATAAGATTTTGTAAGAAACTTTTGTCTTTCTATTCTTAAAACCGATTTGTGTTCGCTTCCATGAAAGAATCTAACCTCATCTCCTTTCTTGAGCATCACTTGAGGTTCATACACCCGCTCTTGAGGGGCCTCTGATTGGACCAACTTCTTTCTTGGTAGGTTTGTTCTTAAACCAGGTTCAATGAAAAGCTGCAATACATTTCTATTTAGTATTTACTATTACTTTTGGGAGATTTCAAGGGAAATAAATAAGACACATAAAGTTAAACGCAACCTCAATGGAGCCAATATTTGTTGCACCAACTGCAGCCATTGCCATATAACCTTCTTGCCATCTACCTTCTAGGACAACCTGCTAACATGGAAAATATCAATCCTCTAAAGACCAAATACTTTTTCAAACTGAAGAAAGTGAAACATCATGTGATATGACACTAGTAGACTATTTGTAGTTATTGTTTCTTGGGTTTATTTATCTCTAGGATTAAAGCACCAAGCTCTAGATTTTTGATTTTTTTTTTCTAAATGTTGTTTTACTACCTGGGTGTAAGTAAGTTATTAACAACCCCCACACTTGGTTTGTGATTTTGTCAACATAAAGATTTTTTACATAGAGAAGGAAGTTTAGAATTACCCTTTCATTCTCAACATAAAGATTTTTTATTGTCCTGATAGCACGTGAATTAACAGGGTAGAGCCGACCTGCAAAAAAGTTAACATAAACTTATTATTATTGCACATGATTTACTTGGATTGTTGAGTTTTTTTTTCATGCAATATTCTTCTATATAGTTAAAACAGGTAATAGGAGAGGTATATACTTGTCTAGAATAATGAATTTTTTTTCTTTAAAAAAAAAAGTAATCAAACAATGATGTTTACCAGAAAAATGGCGGCGAACAACTACATTCCAATCAACCGGTGAGTGAATTCGATGGTAGTTTCCTGGCGTCAGGTAAATAACACAATAAAAGAGACCTTTCATTGGACTGCTGCAATCAACATTAAAAGAAAAAGTAAAATTCCTTACTAAATAAATAGTATATAATAATATTAGTAACTTGTAAGAAGAAAAAATGTTAATTATAATTTATATGATATGAAGCGAGTAAGAGAGGTGGTATGAAATTACGGGGGTGAAGAATGCTCCTCCCTAAGTTTTGGTGAAGCTAATGAAATTCTCCACCATGATTTGTTGCTGCTGCTGTTGAGCTTCTTTTCTTGTTGGCAGCTTGTATCTTCATGGGCAGGTGATGCCATAAGAGGGAGTAAGGCGCGTGCACCTAAGAGGGAAGATACAGAATAGGAGAAGCCTTTAACTTGCTCAATCATAACCCCTTCTTTCAGCTCTCCAACTCTTAACACAGTGCCATCAACAGGACTCATCTACACTTACATGTTACATAAACATGTAAATTATAAATATAAATATATAAATATGAAGCCTACCAGAGTGTGTGGGTCAGAATTGATTGGCCTAGCACCATCTTTCAGTCTGCGAATAGCAAAATCTTTAAGTGATGCGTATTCCTTTAAAGGCAGCCCCACCTCTTCCAAATCTAAGTAACATACAACAACAACAAATCACATTCAGATTCACGTTCACACTAGTGTAATAATAATAATAATAATAATAATAATAATTTTTGGGTTCAACAAGTAACATACTTGAATGAAATGCACGAGCCCAAGCTCTATGAGCATATGGACGCACCCAAACTGGAAGTTCCTGTTTGGAAACAAACAAACATCACAACCACTTGTTTCTCAATCAAACACCAGAATACAAGACCATATTTTGTACCTCTCAACTACAATTTCTCTAGTTGTATATTGTTTGTTTTTCATGGATAACAGAAGCCAAGGGACTTAACAGTTAACATACATTCAACTTGAAGGGTCAAAGTATTTCCTTTATATTAAATATAGACATTACTGGTGAAGCTTGATGAAAATTACATTTTGAACACCATTCATATGACTGGCTAACAATATACTAAAAAAAAGAAGTACATGTTCTCTCTTTTCAAAAGAAAAGGTAAAGTGGCAACAGACTTGTTGGTAGTTATAGATTTATTCAGTCTAAAGAAACTTTGTGTAAGTAAGTACACATCATCTCTAATGAAATTATTTACTTTTACCAAATTACCAACTCAATAACATAACTAATCTTTTGCGTTTGGATGATTCTCACCTTGCCACACAAATGACCCCAAAACCTTGAAATGGAGCGTAGAGGTAACATATTCAGGAATTTAGCCTACAATTATCAAGCAAGAAAATCAGGTATTAAGCAATAACAAGTTAAAATGGCTCAAAATATGACAAAAGATGAAAGACAGAATTCAATACTTTTACATCAGGTTGGAGCTCGGGTTCAATGCCACTCTCTCTAGCCTCTTCAATCTGGATAATTTTAAGATAAAAGTTTTTCTTTTAAAAAACTCCAGCATTATTTTATTGACTTAAAGATGAGTGTTGTGGAGTGTGCATTACATACCTTTTTATCACTATACATTCGTCTAGCATGAAGAGCTCCAAGCATGGCTATAGTTGCAACAGTTGCACCGGGCACCAGAAAAGGATTACCTTTACCTGTCAACCCTCAGCCTCAGCAATCAATCATGCTATTTTCCTCTAAAATTGATAAGATCCAAATGAGCAACACTACAAATCTATTTACCTTTAGACCCACTGCTGCTACTGTCGCCATTAATGGAATCTATCCTACGGAATCGAGATTTTCCCTTAAGTATTAAGTCTATCGAGAATCTACGCCCACAATTGAAGCTTGTTTTACGACCAAACATCGCTGGTTAAACATTAAAACATGTATATTATGATTGATAAGTGAAAACATGCATAAGAAAGTTCTATCCCTCACTGGCATTTCATCAAACAGCTTGCCTGCAAACACATTCCCATTTATTACAGAACACTATATTCATCAGATTTCATACATTTGAACATCAAACACAATTACCAAATCAGTAGCAGAAAATATGCAGCAAAATAGTAGCAACTAACAAATAGCAAATCAACTATCAATGGACGTAAGAAATCACCTGACAGAGCTCCAGGAAAAATATTACAAAGAAAGCAGAAAAAAAGAGAATAATCACAGGAAAAACTTGAGCTTGACAGTTGATATTAAAAAAATACTACAGAGATTTCGTATGTGAAGAAGGAACTAACAGGAGAAGTAAACCTCTTGGATTAAAAAGAAATCGACCAACAACATCAATTGGCGATTTCAAAGAAAGCAGAAAAAAGAAGAAAGAACGCAGAAAAGAAGGAAGAAAAATGGAACCTGTGGTTGGGTGCGACGGAGTTGTGTCTATGGAATGTCTCCGGCCGGTGGTTTCACAAGGGAGGCGACGGCGAGCGGGGATAGTCGAAGTGAGGAGCAGATAGCGAGAGGCGATGTTGTAATCGTAAGTACAAGGAGTAATTTTTTTAAGGGGTGGCGCCAAAGTTTTGGACGTTTGGATTCTTATGCAAGAAAAGTCAGAATTTTCATTTTTGCGCCGGAAGTTTGTAATTTCTTTTTTTCAATTTTATGATTTTATCCATGAATTTTGTGCAAAGGTATAATACTTTTAAAAAATAATTACAAAATCATTGTATTTTAAGATTTAATTACGAAAAGATGGTCAAACTTGTTTCCGATCTTTTTGATTATTTTAATTAGAAGTGCAGCGTGGCATTTGTCCTCATAAACATCCACCCATGTCTCCTTCTATGACTTTTTCCGGCGAAATACCTCCATGAGCAGTGTTTCCAACGGAATAAGTCAAATACCTCAATCTACATAGCGGCCTCGACTCACGTGATGGCTTGCAACCGTCTTTAAACTCGGTGTACATTCTCTTAACGCAATCTTCTCCCGTGTCCCATTCAAGATCTATCCAATCTCGCTTCTATGAAACCGCTAGTTTTTACAATCAAATTGTCAACGAGATTTAGCCACCGTTACACTCATTATTCATCCTTGATTTGTAGCTTAACAAACTTTCTAGTGGTCTTGGGTTCAGTTCAATTTATGAATGTATCAAATTTCCCCGACTTCAATTTTCCAGTGCTTACTTTGGAGTCCATTATAACAATGTAATTTTCTTACAAAGTGACGGGGAGAGACCGCTCTTAGAGAAAGAGAATATCCAATTTGACCGCTTGTATATCAAAACAATTTGTTTGGTCGTGTCCCGTTTGTTACTCCTTTTAGTCGTCTGGTCTTAGGTTTGTAAGGGTACTTTCATCAAATGTGATCTTATTGATGGCGGGGATGGGGTGGTTTTGTCAAGGTGGAAAAAGTTCACTAGTGGTTTGAGGTTGTGGGCAGCATTCATTAGCATTGTACAGAGATTCATTATCGGTTGGACTTTCCCACATGGCAGTAGGAGTACTGTATTGTGGCTCTTTTATCTCATGGTTCTTTCCGTTTAACGACACAATGTTACATTGTTGCTCTTGTGTCTCATGGTTCATTCCGTTTAACGACACAACCAATTAAAACTCAACTCCAACATGAAAAATTAGAAGATGGAGTGGAAAGATGGAGGGACAAATCGGTACAATCATTTTGATTCAGACTTTATACCTTTAGAAGAAAAGAACAAGGTGAACAAAGTCTGGATCTACAAGTTCCAATGCAACCAACTCTTCTCCAATGAGTTCCTTCTTCTCTAAGATGTACCAAGAATACTCCAAAGCACTTAAAAACACCTTCTTTTTGCTCACAAGGCTCAATCTAGGGTTATGGTTTCAACAAAGGGTGTTTTTAGATATAGCTAATTTTTAGTGTTATGAGCTTTTGGTCACTTTAAGTACATAAAGTTTGGATCTTGAAAGTTTGTGACCATGTTATGGATAAAGCTGGAAACTTTATCTATCTAAACATCATTTTGATTCAAATCTGAAGGTTGGAGACTTGGACCTAATGGATTAAGTTAAAAAAAGATGCACTTTTGGGTCCCTTTGAGACTTAAAGATCTTATTTATTGGGACCATTCTATGGTTAAAGTCGGAAACTTTATCCGTTATGGAGCTATTATGAACCATAAAAATGTGATATTGGCCTTTCTATCCCTTCCATGCAAGAGTTGTAATGTCTTATTGGCTTAAGAACTTAGGGTTTTGGACATTAAGCACTTTATAGCCATGCAAAGTCATAAAGTTTGAAACTTTATGACTTAGGACATCATTTTGGGTTTGGTGAGTTTTGGATGTAAGGGATTAATGGAATAATCTCTTCATGGAGGTTTGGAACTGGACTACATTTGGTGGTACGTTGCATGTATGTGGTCAGCGCCCTGCTTTTGGTCAACATCGGAGTACGTTGGGTGTACTCTTTTGGCACGCAGGGCGTACTCTACTGGGAAGAAATATTGACTTTTGGACCTTGACCGTGGACTTTGACTTTTACCATAGCTGACCAAGTTTAACTTACGGGTATTTTGGGTATTTTGAGCTATAGTTAAGCCTTAATCTTTATATGTTGAATAGGTGGTATGTAGAGCTGGTATTCAGAGCAATGTATTGTTCTACTATTTGTCAGATTAGGAGGTGAGTTTTCTTCACTATCCTTACGAGTCGAAGGCACCAAGGTCGGCCCATTGGATTGATATCATTGTTTATCGTATGTTGATATGTCGTAGTGATCTGTTAGATTTGTATCCTAGTATATAGGATGTTGTTATGTTATAGTGATTTGTTAGATTTGTATCCTGGTATATAGGATGTTGCTATGTTGTAGTGATCTATTAGATTTGTATCCTGGTAGATAGGATGTTGTTGTGTTGTAGCGATTTGTTAGATCTGTATGACTACATGTATTTGTTGTTATTGATTGAGGCGGTCCTGCTTTATGTTGAAAGCCAAGACACCCATGGCGGTCCGGATAAACTGAAGGCTTGCAAGGCGGTCCAGTCAGGTCGAAGGTTTGGAGAGTAGTCCAGATGGGTTGTAGGTCCGGTGCGGCGGCCTAGCCATGCTGAAGGCTCTAAGAGCGGTCAAGATAGTCTATAGGCCTGCGAGGTTGTCCAGTCATGCTAAATGCTCACATGCTATTGTTTTTTTTTTGGAAAGGGAACTTCTCTAACGAGGGTTTCCGGGCCAGCTTTCGCGCATCGACTAATCCCCCGCTGCAAACATGAGGCTTTGCCTCATGCCCTGGAGTCACTGCAGGCGAACCTCCATGGCCACAAGGGCTTAGTAGTGCCAGGATTTGAACATGGGTCAATAGGTTATCCACCATATCTTCCACATGCCTTACCAAGTCACCACAACCCAAGTGGTTAACACATGCTATTGTTGTTATGTCTTATGGTGGTACTTTGGGGAAACCTCACTAGACTTGATGCTTACAGGTTCAATTTATTGTTTCAGGTACTTTAGAGGATGGCGGGAAAGCGAAAGCGTGATCATGCACATTTTCCTGTTTTATGACATTAGATCTTCGGATACTCTAATTTTGAATAATACTTTTGAAACATTGGTTTTGTAAACACTTTATGGAAGAAATGGGTTGTTTTTGAAAAGTTAAAATTTATTGAAATTTTTGGATGTTACAAGTTGGTATAAGAGCCTTGGTTTGAGTGAATTGGATGAACATTCGTGTGAATCCAAACTCAAACTAAGGATTTGTGAAAGTTTTCAGACTATATTCAAATTAAATTCAAATTGTTTTCAAATCAACCAAGGAAGGATGTGATGTGTACGATCAGCCGGAGCAAGAAAGTACATCGATCCCAAGTTACCCACACTATTATTTGTTATGATATGGTAGAACGGCATTCTAGTTGTAGGATAAGGATCTTCAGGAATTGCATAATAGAATTGTTTGTTGTATGATGCCTTATTCCTATGGAATTTTCTTGCTTGTTGTTATAGGACTCTTTCAGGTGTGAATTAACTATTAACTGAATACGTTAAGTCACATGGTGCATGGGTTAAATAATTTTTGAGTGAAGGATTTGGTCCTTTGGCGCAACTCTTGTTTGAGTTCAAACAATGTAAAAGATTAAGAATAACCTAAATGACCAAGATAACTTACATGATTGAAAGGGAAGGTAAAAGATCAAAACTTTCCTAGTCCAAGAGGTCCAAGAAAACATTCTAAATTGATCGAAAGGGTGTTGAACTCCAGATCTGAAACATACAGTGCTCTTGGGACCTTGGAGAGTAATAAAGTTGCAAACTTTATCCCCAACTCCCACTAAAAACTCATTAAAATGGACCAAGACACCAAATACACTCAGATCCAAGATGAATATGCAATAAGGCTTGGAACTTTATAACTTACAAAGGTCTAAAAGGTAGATGAAAGTTGAGATCTTCAATTGCCAAGCTTCAACGATCAATCTTGCATGAAAACATTGCTCCAAAACCACCAAAAACTCTAAAAGTGGATGAAAAAGGAAAAATGATGCTCAAATCTTGAAAATGGAGGATAGAGTTTCTCCCAAGAGGTTGTAGATATGATGGGGGCTAAGAAAATACCCTAAAACATGAATCCCTACCTTTAAATACCTTGAAAACCTTAAAAATTCCATGGGTTTGGGCTGCACAGTTCTCATGTCGTGAGAGTAAATTCTCACCCCGTGACCACTCTCACGTCATGAGAATTACTTCTCACCTCATGAGAACGGGTTTTCACCCAATTTCACTCCAACTTCAAAACAATCATGACTTCTTCGTTTCAACTCCATTTTCAACGATCTTTATATCCACAGAAAGATATTGATGAGCCCCACACTTCTATCTAGTTAATTTTGGATTAACACATGTTGAACTAAAAACCATAATTCGTGAAGAAGTCTGAAACATCACTTTTCTCATTTTACCATTTGACTCCAAGACACAAACCAATACTTTAATCACTTATCCAACATTATCATCATCCAATAAGGTATAAACCCCATTCCCTTGATGTCCAAGGTCTTTACTTGATACATTTATTGTCCACAATTCCGAAATAAGAAACTTTTCAAAACATGATATTATAGAAACATGCAAATTTGCTGCTCCGAAATCAAATAAAAGTGATGTTGGCACAAAATTTACTAAAAATGTACTTGACCGACTACCATCGGTTGTCATATGCAAAGCCTTCACCTTTCTACTTGTTTGGACATTCATAAAAGATATATCCTTCATGACAGAATTAGCATGTTAGGCCAGACAGTATACTCCCTAATGCTATGTGCAATGGTCGGAACCGCACACCTTAGGTACAGTTTATAGTGAACGAATTTAGGGTGAAAGCTCTCTTCTTCGCTCTTCTCTCCTCTTTTCATTAACTGAAGCCATTTAAATGTAATTTTCTTTTCTTTTCTTTTTTAATTTTTAATTTTTATTAAGTTATATATATATATATATATATATATATATATATATATATATATATTAAAAAATTAAAAATTATATATTAAATTTTTTGGTTTTTAATTCTTTGTAGAATATATATATATATATATATATATATATATATATATATATATATATATATATATATATATATATATATATAGGGGATAGAGAATATATA